GGGGCGGCGGGTGGACAGAGGAAGAATCAGTTATCATCAACGGATTATAAATTGACTGTGAATGGGTGAGGGAGATTATTAGAAGACTATAGAGTCTTGGGGGGGGGGTTTACTGGTAAATTTTCTTGTGACACAAACAAAATCCTTCGCATATCAGATTCGGTGTCCGTTGCTTCATAAGAAAAACTTAAATAGGGCTTACAGATACAAATATTTCTTGTACTTAACCCGAATGAATTTCTATAGTAGGGTATGACCCTTGGCATAGCATTCTAGATGCATAGTTTATCATTTTGCCCTTTGGTTTAATTTCTGAGTTTTTGTCAGTAGTGTTTTTAAAATCTAATTTGGAATTTAGCCACTATTCGAGTCATCCTACGAGGAAATTATAATCCTACTTTAAATGACTGAGTGTTAAGAACGTTGCCTTATTTTCCATTTCTGAACATTAAACGTGTCTAAAGTCATCTTGGTGTATGTGTATTAGTGAGGATTGTAGTGAAACACAAGTGGCATCTTCGATATTATGCAATTTTGATTTGCCCTCCGCTGGGGCCACCAAAACAAATTCAATGTGAGGGACACCAGCATGTTTTATCTCACACCTTATTCGGAAGCACGCTAACATTTGATAGCAGTTAAGTACCACTGAAACATCGAAGGTATTGAGATTTTTCCAAAACAGGTCACGGTGTTTGGCAATGCTCTCCAAATATGCCGAATATTTAACACTGATTAATTATTATCCTCTTAAATGTGGCCAATGTCAGATAACGTATTGTTAAGTTGGCGTGAAAAAAGAAGTTTTTTTATGGTTAAGAATCTAATTGTATTTGTTTTTCTCTTTGAGGGAGTTTGCAGCACCTCCGTTACTTATTTAGGGTGTAATTATTATAAGTCATTATGGAACTAGTTGAAATATTTCTAGGGTAAAAAGCAAAAACAGAAGTAAAACACTGTCTAACAGACCTGGGCAGTGTGTACGTAGTCTTGCCTTCTCCTTTATTGAAACATTCTTATCTAAATGTCTATGTTAGATAAGTTCTCTACAAATCGTAATCCCGCCGTTGAAGTGTTGCACACTTGATTTAAGCCAAAATAGATCACCACGTACCATCACGTCTCTCGTTCGTAAAACGATAATTGGCTTCTCTAATATTCATCAGTGTCGACAGCCTCTCTATTCTTTATTTAAAGTGATTCACAAGTCTAACATGACAGTATCCAAAGAAAGAATCTTTCAAATCTCTATACTGTTTACACTATTTCTTGAACGTGGCGTCAAATTTCAGTCGACCCTCCTTTTGTTTCTACCAAGTTCATTCTAAAAGTAATACCCTAATCTTTCAATGAGTTAGCACTAAAGCTCCCCTGCTGTTAAGCTATTTGGCACCGATCATTTATTATCATCATTACAGATATACTTTGATACATTTTTTTCTCGTTTTCATTGCTACTACTCTAGTCCTAGAGATTGTTGAATTGCAGTGGAAGAAATTTGACAAAACTGGAACGAACATAACAAAAGAGTATGTTAAAGCTCCAAAAATGTGAGCAACCGCACAATAAAAATTTCACGTTTCCCACAATTCACATAATGTCACTTCCCTAAATGTTTTTTAATCTTCATAGGACGGAATGTGTGCCCTCTGCGAAGCACGCCAAATCATGTCAATCAACACAACGAGTGGAATCTACTTCATGCAATGCTCAACATTCGTTGCTAAGTTAATGTTGAGATGTATTAGATGGAATGGACTCAGAGGAATGCACTTAGTCTGCAGATTTTTCTTTTGTATTTGTTGTTGCTTCCTTTTCATGTTTGAGACATTATCGCCACAAAAGTATCTATTAACAGTATAATTTACCTAAGGCGTATGGACGATCGCCAGGCAATCTTAAACTTTTTTCTCGGCGAAATATTGGAGAAAATTTCTTCAGATAAGCTCTTTTTTTGTTGTTGTACCAAACAGGAAAATTATCCAATGTGGTATAAAGGGCGAACTCATTAGGCAAAATGAAGAGACCTGCTTCATCTGGAGTAGGCAATAACATTCCACATGAAAAATTTAGCAAAAGCCAACGATTACAGTTCAGAAAAAAGGAGTCCAAAACCAGGACATAAAACAATCAGACCTTGCATTAAGTGCGTTGTATGCTTTACCAAATTTAGTAAAAAGCACTGCGAGTAATTTTATAGGTTTTGCTAAATGACATTTGACATACATTGTACACTGCCTATGGAAAAAAACGCTTAACAACAGGAGATTACAATCATCAGCAATCGTCACTATACACAACAACTCGGTCAAGTTAGAGGGCCTGGGTCAGGAATACCAATTATCTGATATTACAAGGCGTTTAAAGGCTTTCATTTGGGGTAAAAGTAAACGAAATTTAAGCTGTTTTACAAAAGCCTTCTTATTTTTAGAGTTTGTTTTCCAAACTTTTTCCAGGCTTCGCAGTTATTCTATTTTACACCTATTATTTTTATGGCTACTGCCTCCGTTGGAGGCGAAGCCATAATGTTCCCCTGCTGAGTAAGTGAGTGTAACAATATAATATGAAGAACTCTAGCCTAGTTTTGTCATCTAGCCTTGAGGAACGGTGAGGTTCTTGAACTAGCCCCAATAAATTATCATTCCTATATCGATTTTTATCATTATTATGATTATTATTATTATTATTATTATTAATCTAGTGCCTATTAGTCATTATATCCTTAAATCATTTTTCTTTTGTGGAACAGGATACTCATGAATACGTAGGGTGCGGCAGCAGTAGCCATATGTAGTCTTGACTGCCTATTTTTTTCTAAAGCATTCACTAAGGGAGCGGTCATTATCTGCTGGGCGGGTAGGAGAATTTTGGTTGTGTCACAATAGAATTTGCTTGATCTACCCTTGTACTTTTGTAGTATTCTAATGATCTAACTTACTTTACTGGCACCAAATTTTCTATGGTCCCACCCCTCCCGGCAGTAAATAGTGACTGGTTCCTAAATACTCTGTGGGAACCATTCAAATCAAAGAAGCGAGCTAACACTTAATGTTACGTCTTATTAAAAAGGCAAAGATATAAAAAAAGTTATTAATTTATTTCATCTAGTCTCTGTGACCCTATGTGTAAGTACCAAAAGTTTAAAATTTGACGTTTTTTCTTCCCAATGAAACCAACATTTCTGAACAAAGTCTTAGCCGACTACAAAATATAGTCCACAGATTATCGATAACTATTCAACCCTGATCATCTTTGCTATGTTTCCTCATTTACTTAGCAACTACACAAGTTATCTGGGTTTTTTTTTAAGAGAGTTATTTCTACCCTGACAATTTTTCCTTGCTCGGTCTTAAAACTGATTTAAATTCGTAACCAATATTAAAACATGATACTTTTACTGGAGGCTTCTTAAAGACTCCTTGACTAGGTTGTAAAAGCTACGACATGGTCTACTAAGAAAGAACTTAGGTTGAAAAGATTTCTCTAAGTTACCAGATAAAAAAAGGCTCTAGATGTATGAAAATTTCACATAGTCTTCCAGATAATTATGTAACTATGAGAGGTTATCGAGACACAATTTTTCGACTAAAAAGATAATTACTGATCAAATCTTGAGGAACAAAGGGGCTGACAGATCACAAGAATTAATCTCAGAATTTGGAACATACTCTTCATTACTGTTCTGTAGCACTTTCTCTACGATGCTCTTACGTTCCTAAAACTGAACATTTTTTTTCCTAATTCTTCTATAAGAAATTGAACATCTCGTGGCAACAATCGATATGTTATTAAAATTTTTAGGTTTTAACCAAAGGTGAAAGAGCCGTTAGTTGAATTAACGAGATATATTTTTTTATAGTGCACACAAAAGCTAGTCTAAATAATTCTGACATGGTTCTTTTAATGTTAACTTGGCACTATGCATTTTTTTCTAAGGGCGTCTATAACAAGTCACAATTGAGAGTGGGTATTTTTTGTTCAGAAAGTGAAGGAAATCTGGTTACTCTAGTATAATGTTAATATTCTACAATACTCTTCTTTTTTTGTACAAATAGTAGAAGAATTAAATCAACCGCCTCTCTTACCTGAAACAACTAAAGTTTGAATTCAGGAAATATCGATTTTACTGTCACATTCTTTAAAGTTAGAAACCTCTCAGACATAATGATACAAAGAGCCCCATAAGAAAACTGGTCAATGGCCTTCATTTGATCACACTTTGTGGTTTTCATGCGAGATTTATATCAGGAGATTGTTGGCTGACTTTGTAGTGACGAGGTTAATCGTACCATGATAATTCCTCTTCTAACATTATTTACACCTATGAAGCGTAAGCCTCGATCGACAACTCTGACATTTCACCTTGCAACACCAGTAGAAGCGACAGTTGCAGAGTTCTTCTAATTCGCTTTCGCTCGATGTAAAACCTCTTCCACAGCACATTAAGTCACACCCATCGGTCCCGAGAGATGTGTTGTTACACAGTCTTCCAACCGTCCCGAGGGATCCAGTGTCAGGGTTTCTGTTACAAAAATTGGGCGAGTCTTCGTAGTAAACCAAATCTGCCCTTGTAGGAGGCTTGTGGAGTTTATTTTTCGGTCGAAAGGGCTTTCCTTTCTTGACATTATGACCATTACGATTGTTGTTCTGTTCGAATTCTACCAATGAAGCGCTGTCAAATTTGTCTTTGAGCACATCGCCAATTCGTCTGAAGTCAGCCAGCCTTCTCCAACAAGTTCGAACAGTGCAGGCTTCGGAGACTCCATGACATTTGCATTCTCTCACCATGTTTTCTCGAATTGCCTTTGAAAAAGGTAATACTTTTTTGTCAGTTGCTAGGTCAGACAGTTACAGATAAGCAACAGCATGACCTTTTGCCCAAACGCTGAGCGTGTTGGGTTGAACCCTTAAACTCCCAAGTTTGATTGTTAATTCCCCACTCGAGCTGCTATACATTTCCTCGTAAATTCAATCGTTAATTATGAGAATTGGTGTTAGATCAAGATAACAACTTCTAATTGATAATTGAGTTAGTCTGAATGTTACAAGTCAATCACCTGTGGGAATTAGAGACACGGAGAGCTAGATGTTTCGTAGTGGAGCGAAAGATTTACGACCCTAATGTCGCTGCAAGCAGTGAATATACCATTACGAACGGAGACCAAAGAATTGCTTAGCTTGAAAGATGTCCGCAGCACACTAGGTAACGAGATCCCTATGTTACTTGAATCAAACGTTACTTTCTTGAAAAGACGCCCCGGTACCACCACGCGGAATTTTTTTAACATTCTTTGAACCCCTGGTTTATTAAGTAACGACATTTTTATTGCCGAAGATATCAGTTATTGGGAAACTCAGCATTTAAACGCGAGCTGCGATTATATTCGGAACATTTCCGATGAAAATCAATCGGAGAGTAACTGCCCATCAGTTTGAATGATAGCCTTCTGTACTGAATTAGAATACAAATTTCCTTTCTCCAAAACATCGGGAAGGACACATATATGGCGAAAGGTCATATGGTTAGATGTGTTGGATAGTTTAGAGACTTACTTGTTGATTTAAAAATACAGCAAGGCAGACTGACCACCTTGTTTTCATCATAGAAGTATAAGTCATTGTTGGTTCAAATCCAATACAATTGAAAGTCTTAGAAGCCCTGCTGAATTAACTTTTGGTCAAGAAGTTACCCTGAGCTCCGTGGGAACATCATTAAAACCGGCGAAATGTGATGAAATGCAAATTGATCGCCAGTGAAAAAGCCGCAGCGAAAAATAATAGACTGGTTTCATGAGCGCGGTTTTTGAGCAATTAGGTTTGCGTCAAAACGTGGGAAACCGCGCTATAACGGTTTACCACAGACACACTTATTACCGTGAATAATTCTAACCTTGATGTTGCGACTTTGTTATTACGGCTAGCGGCGCTAACAAGAGCAATACGGTAACGTTCATATTAAAGAAGACAACTTCTCTGCCTATTTCTTGAAGTGTAGGTTAGATAACTACGTGGTTGAATTCTTTCTCTATATTTTCGGCAATTTTTTTGTACATCAAAATCAGGGCCACCAGTTCAAGACAATACTCTTCTGTTCAATTTCGTTTGTTATTGCATAGATAAAAATGCAGTTAATTAACTAGCTTCGTATGTAGTAGTTTCCTCTCCGTACCGATTTTTTTGAGAATCGATCTTCCTCTTTTATCCAGCGGTTGCTGGATTCCTCTATATTTTTATCATAATGTTAGCTAGACTGATGAGAATAATTAAATTTTAAATATTCTCAACATGAATCGACTCGTGAGTCAAAATAATTAATCATCAAACTTTCCGTTAAGCTTTTCAAACTGAAACACATATCGCCTTGACCCTCCGCTTGCATCCGTGTATTTCAATTATTTTAGTAATAAAAGATCAGTCGGAAAGGATTTATTCATCAGCGAAAAGCAATTCACTCTTCGCCTGAGGCTGCGGCTTTTTTAAGGTCTATCGTTGCGGCTTATCTTACTTTGGCTTGCAATCATTGCGAGAAATTTTTACACGTAGAGCAAAGTGAAAAATTAACTTACGGTTCTTCCGGCCTCATTGTTGTGCAAATTAACCAATGTGCGAAAATCTCTTCCCTTCTCTCCTGCATCGACAAACTTCCTGGAGAACTGATCAGCAAAATGAATATTGTCACTACAGCCTCCCCACTGCCATCCTTCATGGGTTACTCCCTTGTATCTACTGTCGCAACCACAAGCCGCCACTTTGCCATCGCTACAAGCTCTAGCTATGGCGTGAGATACACCGGCTGCAGTTATTGAGTAAGCGAAAGCAGTTTCTCTGCAAGCTGAAACAAACACAGCAGAGTTAAAAACCTTCTCGGTTTCGTTTCTTAAAATGTCTACGAAACATAAGAAGCGGCGTTTACATGAATAAAAATGTCACCTTTCCTGCCGAGACTTTTGCCAATACGACAAAATTAAGTCACAACCCGCCCACGATCTTCTAATAAAAATAGTTCCACCAACATAATTAGTGAAACGCATTTCGAACTCATATCCCTACAGGATGAAAACATCTTCTTAGGAGCAGTGGTAAGAACCTCATCAGGAAGTGATGTGTCGACTTACTTTTACGGTTTATAGACCTTCAAGGTGTTTTGACTCCGGTCAGATAGAAGACAGATGTATCGTAACAATAAACGGCTATTTGCGATGGAAGTAGCGTTAATTTCTGAAATATTTTCATTTATTTTGCAACATACGTTATGGTATAAAGAAATGAATATCAGAGAGATTAGCGATTACATATGAAAATTTGGCATATTCCAAACGTCCATAAATAAAGCTATGTACACTGATGAATCATGCAATAAGTATATATTTGCCTTCGTGGGTTGTTCATGAAATGCAACGATCGGAAAAAGCTGCTGATCTCGGCGTTTCTCGCTCAATGATTGTCGCTGCGAGAGATGATGAATCAGTAGTCGAAAACTGTGCCCTGTACACGATATGTTGCCACAGGGGTCCTCTGTCCTCTCTTAGGATTTTTTCTGTTTTGTTTTTCTCACTTTCAACATTTTGCTGCAGTGTCTGGGAGGCAGTGAAATGAAGTGAAAGAAGTCAATCGGATGCACAAGACCGGCCGGATATGACAGTTTATCGTGGAGATACTAGAGAAGCCTTTCACTCGATGTAACGAAGTTAAATAACTGAACACTTCTCACGGCTTCGACAAACGAAAGAGAAAAAATTTTAATTTAAAAATGAGAGAAAGCCCTGGAATTAGAAAACTTTATCTTTTGTGGTTGTTTTCATTAGAAGAAAAAGCTGGTTAAAAAAACATAGTTCTAGTTATGGACGAAGTCATCTTAGTCTTGAGATGGCGTGGAATCTACAAGTTCGTAAATAAAAAGCATGAAAAATCGATCTAAAAAACTTTGAAAGAGCTTCAAAGTAAGCTTACCTATTTTTACAATTTTCCCAAATACATTTTCAGGACTATGAGAAGAACAATTCCACCGTCGATTTTTAAACTGATATTGGCACTGGCTGATAGAAAATTTTGCCCCTAGTCCAATGTAGGGAACCAACTCTGGATACTTCCGACACAATCGCTGTTGTTTCGGCGTCACAGGTTTGACTCCGTTAGCAGGAGAAAGCTGGAAGTTGTAATCATCTTGGGGTTTCGAAGAGCCACTTACGCCAAGATTCCTGTAGAGCGAGTAAACCCAAATGTTTCAGGTACAAAGGTTAAAAGTGGTATAACGGTATCATATCATAATCAGGAAGTATGATACACTGACTTACCACCAGGATCCATTGCCTTCTGCTAAAACATCAAGACTTGTTAAACCAAACAGTACGACCATGTAAAAAGCTTTGAACAACTTCATCTTGAATGTCTAACGATCTTGTTCACTTGTGTCCACAGAGCGAGGTAATAGCTGAAGAATCTTAATTCGCCTTCATAAATCGTCGCATGTGCTGATTGCTCACCCGTCACAATTGACAATGGATTTTGCCGAAACATTTACAAGCACCGCTAACATTATATCATTTTTGTATGGAAGTCTGCATACACTTAAGAATTAACAATTCAACAAGCATAGTTCTCTAATAACGTCTAATTACTTGTAATGCTCATTTCGAAGGTAATCCCCGCCCCCACACAGAAAGCCGGTAAAATTGCTACTTGGAGTTTAATCCGTCGGACAGTGGCTTGATGATGAACAAGCTTGCGGGTAAATATTATTTTAGAATGTGTACCTGTTACTGAAAAGACGTATGTTTTCTTTGGTCATTTGGACTCTTCTCGGGGATTAACAGCCCGCATTTGCCGGATTTCTGTCGTGACCCCTTTTGAAAAGCGTACTCGGTTTTTTAGTATTCTCTTTGATTTTCTATCTTTTAATTAACTTGTGTTCCAGTTCATTTAAAAAACACGTTGACAATAAGGATATTACGTGACTTTGTAAAAGAAGAATTTTACCACATCCCCGTGAGAGAATTTCGGATGGTATGAACAACGCTGTCCATGGCAGTCGAGGGGAACTTCCCTTTGGCGAAACAGAACCAATTTTAGAAGTAAAAGTTTTCTCACAGGCGTGAACACAGGTAGCTTAATAAAGCGAACCTTTTTTCAAATTTGAAAGGAAGCAATTTATACGGATTTGGGCTCGTCAAGACTCATTCAAAGCTTCAAATTAAGAAACAGCAAATTAGGTGATTAAGACTTCAATGGGAAGAAGAAAGAGATTACTTGTGTCACTGCTTTTTAATGGATTAAACAGAGACCGCACTTTTCGAAAATTTTTCAGTCAATTAGCTTCTCTCGAAAAATTGCTCAGTCCACGAAATCCATAGCGAACATGATTTTCGTTTGGCGAATTTAGCGCGTCTCAACATGACGACAAGAAAATACATGTTTAATCTCTTATTTTAGCAGAAGGTTCGCCAAAGGTGGTAATGTGTTTGTTTTGGTTTTCGCTTTGTTGTTATAACGGTTACACGATGAACTTGGAAAACTTTAAGACTACTTAATCTCGCCAATGTCTACATAAGCTGTCTCGCTATGATTAAAACTAATAAAGAAGGATACAAATAAAGTCATTTATCATAGTACTAAGGAATTTATGTGTAATTAAGTCCAGATAATTCTTAGTCACTTTCAACAATTTCTGCCCTCGCGACAAATTCCTGCTTGGAAATACTAAATTATAGGTAAAAAGGTCTCCTCAACAGATACTTTAAGACTGAGTCACTTCCAAAACATCAATTCATTACCTTTTCTTGCCGCATCATCCCATCGGAAACAACAAGCCGGCGAAATCCTCTGATGAAACCCACCATGCTTCAATCGAGCTTAGGACGTGCCTACACATTTCATTCATATTGGCGGCTGAGAGAAAAGGATACTTCGAGAAAAGAAAAATAACAATGAGACACGTAGCTTTTATTGCAACACAATGCGCGGCCCCTGGAGGCAAGTTTTACCACTCACCCCTAGGTGGAAA